GCATCCATCGACTTCCTGCAGTTTGTTAAAAATATTTTTTAAAGCTAACACAAAAAAAAATATATTTGAAAATTCTAGAATTAGAGCTGAAATACACATATTAATGGAAAAATTTAGTCAAAGTAGAAATAAAATGTATAATTAATAATGCAACAGACGATATCACCTCAACTAAATCAGAAAGCGTCAGTGATTGAGCAAAACAAATTATGGCAGACACCGTAGCAACATATGCGTTGCAAACAGCCGGATTGCGTTCACTTTCACCACTGCTCACCGACCTTGACAACCAGCGACCTCAACTAATCAAGCAACACAGGCAATGGATACTGCAGGTGCAACAAAATATTTTACGTCCATTCGTCTCATCTATTGAGCAGATGGAACGTGGGAAAGGTGAGGCGATTATCCTTAATGAAGATTTTGATATCAAAACGATGCATAAGAATGCAGAAAGATTGTAACATTTTAAAATGATCTTATATAATATCTGTATATAAGATAATTATCAAATGTTACGTGGTAGAGCCCTACTGTAGTTATAGTATGGTTGCAGCACGAATGAAAGACCACGCTCTTACAGAACACCAGCGTAAAATAGCATATTTCGTATGGTGAGTGTAGAGAACCGGAAACAATTTTTACTGAATACGAGGCATTCCATCTTACTCCTCAAGGGTGACAACGCATCCGCATTTTGATTCTTAATTGAGGATAAATGTAGATGACAGTATTGTAGTGGCGGTGTAAGAATATCTACTACCCCATATCATCCCGTGGGGTCGTAAGAGGTGACAAAGGGAAACAAATCAGGTGATGGACAGCAGCGTCTTCCTGATAACGACTAAAAATAAAAACCTGCGGTAGCCAATCCGCAAGCCAAGCGTGGCAATTTTGGCTAATATCCGCTTGCAACAAAGTTGCGTAAAAGTGTAGAAATATTTATGAAATGTAATAGATTGAAATGCAAATTTATAAAACAAATTAGGGTCACATTCTATTACAAACCAAACACCGTTGCATGACTTAAAATGAAGAGTAAGTGTCTCTATTCTGTACTGTTGTAAAGAACAGTTCAGGTTTTGTAATGACTACTTTTATCTAATTGTTAGCACTGGGATCATACATATATTGACAATTAAGATAAAAAACTGAAATATCTTATCATTACAGCCCTTCACAATTCCACTGCTGAACATAGACCTCTCCCCCAAGGAATGCCACAAAGCACGGTCCTGAGTAACCTGCATCCATCGACTTCCTGCAGTTTGTTAAAAATATTTTTTAAAGCTAACACAAAAAAAAATATATTTGAAAATTCTAGAATTAGAGCTGAAATACACATATTAATGGAAAAATTTAGTCAAAGTAGAAATAAAATGTATAATTAATAATGCAACAGACGATATCACCTCAACTAAATCAGAAAGCGTCAGTGATTGAGCAAAACAAATTATGGCAGACACCGTAGCAACATATGCGTTGCAAACAGCCGGATTGCGTTCACTTTCACCACTGCTCACCGACCTTGACAACCAGCGACCTCAACTAATCAAGCAACACAGGCAATGGATACTGCAGGTGCAACAAAATATTTTACGTCCATTCGTCTCATCTATTGAGCAGATGGAACGTGGGAAAGGTGAGGCGATTATCCTTAATGAAGATTTTGATATCAAAACGATGCATAAGAATGCAGAAAGATTGTAACATTTTAAAATGATCTTATATAATATCTGTATATAAGATAATTATCAAATGTTACGTGGTAGAGCCCTACTGTAGTTATAGTATGGTTGCAGCACGAATGAAAGACCACGCTCTTACAGAACACCAGCGTAAAATAGCATATTTCGTATGGTGAGTGTAGAGAACCGGAAACAATTTTTACTGAATACGAGGCATTCCATCTTACTCCTCATGGGTGACAACGCATCCGCATTTTGATTCTTAATTGAGGATAAATGTAGATGACAGTATTGTAGTGGCGGTGTAAGAATATCTACTACCCCATATCATCCCGTGGGGTCGTAAGAGGTGACAAAGGGAAACAAATCAGGTGATGGACAGCAGCGTCTTCCTGATAACGACTAAAAATAAAAACCTGCGGTAGCCAATCCGCAAGCCAAGCGTGGCAATTTTGGCTAATATCCGCCCCCCCCCCCCGCCCTGTGAGGCAATCTATGGGGGAAGCCTATGATCTGCAGTGGACTTTAATAGGTTGTAACGGTAACTGTGTGCTGGTTTGCCTAAAAATCTAATAGTATTCTATTAGTTTTAGGCAAACCAGCAGATTTTTAGGCACTACTGATTTTAATTGAGTTTTTTTTTTTGCATTTCAAATTTAAATGTTGAAGTATTTATGAATCTGTGAAATATTTGACCCTATATAATTCACCTTATATAGTGACAGTTTAAATAATTCATTTTCATTTCTAACATACGCGTTTGATTTCGACATCAACGTTGGGTTATAATGTTTTATAGTACAATTAGTTCATTATTAAATCTACACGTAATCCATCATCCGTCCCCAAAATGAACGAGTGTGCTTTAATATACAATTTGTATTAATGACGCTTGCTATACGTTTTATAGCTGAAATACATATAATTTATTTCGCTGAATTAATAATATAAAAAACTATTGGTAAATCCAATTGTGCATGCCCTAAGCGTATTAAAATTATAACATGATTATACGTAATTTTTTTAAAGTAGTTTAAATAAACACAAGTTTTTTACTAATAACCTTATTATTATATTTTCAATTTTCCAATAATTTCATATCAAACTTCAATTACAAAAAAGTTTGGTCACATCATAAAGTCCAAGACGTATTTAAGTATAAATATACTTAAATACTTTTAGTACGTAGTACTATTGTATATTCGGTGCTTTTAGAATATTGTAATAAAAATCTGTGATTGTTATAATAATCAATTATGTATCAAATTTGGCTTTTCGAATATTTTGTATTTGTACAGCGATCTTATTGAACCGCTGCAAATAACCGATACAGTAACTACTCACGACGGCAGCTGAGGCCGAACTTACCCTATATAGTATACTATCTATGGCCGACGTGGCCGAAGTGAGTGAGTGAGGCAGTCTATTTAGTAAAATTAATTATTACAAGACTGCTCAAATAACCGAAAATTTCTGGATTTCTACGCTGAAAAAATTAATTATAACTAAACAAAAGAAGCTGCCATTTACATTCCATAGTTTTCTACATGATATGTGAAGAGATAAAAAGCGGCCAAGTGCCCTAAAGAATAGATTGAGTTAAACAAATTATATTTTCAAAAGTTATCGTGTTTACCACTACATGCGGACTTGATAAATCTACACCATACGCCACTAAAACCACATTTTTATGTAGAAATAGCAATTAATCGATTTAAAAAATAAATTAATAAGTTCAACAATCATTTATCTTTCTGACAATGTGCTTTTCATATAATTTATATGTTCAACATGATTGTTAGATACGATTACATGCGACAAAATGTTGGAATCTTGATTTTTAGGCGCTAGTAGAACATACCTACGCGCTTTGGCACCTTTTGGCGCGCTTAAGGCATGCAAACCGTACAGTACCTACTCGTAAATTCCTAATACGATTGTCAATTGATAGAGCTGTTGATTGATGTGTTTCGGTTCATTAAAACCTGTGTCACACCGCTTTATATGAGCACCTACTATTTAAAAACCGATACTTCACATATCCACTGCATGTTATGATAACGTCATAAAAAAACTACGGAAGGCCAGTATAAGGTAGCAAATTCTTCGCCGTTATTATTCGAAAATGTATTTCAAAACCAGTTGCAAAAGTGACAATTAACAATAAACGCTCAAAACATTTTGGGATGATAGATTATTTAAATATCTCTGTGTTCCTGTTACTGTAGTGGCCGCAGAATTTAGAGAGAGTGCTACCTTCGCCGGTAGCTTTCAACATTACCGCCTTACAACACTTACCGCTAAAAGAGTAGGTTATGTCGTAAGCTACCGATGAACCAGGTTACACGCCGATGCAATGGGTATGTTATATTTCCTAAGTCGAATCAGAAATTATTTCTCTTTTCAATGATAAAATATTTACATAGTGTATTCTTGTCTTGCGTTTAAAAAATTCTATTGTTTTATTGTTCCTTTTTATTTTAAATATCGCTATTTTATTTTTTTGACTTATTAGTAATTAGGTACTCATAAACTACTGAAGGCTGATTTTCCATCCAATACACACAACTAATTTAAGATCACATTGTTCCTTAACAAGAATGTTTGAATTATATAAAGAATACCAAAGCAGAATAGATCTATTCTAAACCTCGATGGCTGGCATCAAAAAAGTAGTTATCGGCGATTAAGGCTATGTTTAAATGGAAGTTTCTTCATTGTTAATTTTAATTAAAATTTTATTACAGTTAAATTGTACCTATGTACTGTTGTAAAATCAACGTAAAGTCTCTTTTTTATTTATGTGGTGCCCTCCTGTAAGTAATGGGACATTTAGTTATAATAATTGTGATGTCATTCCATATGTATGTAACAGTGTACTCATTGTTGTGAGAGCCTAATAAAATAAATAAATAAATAACTAGGTATTCTATGACGCTGCTACTAATATCTACTTGAATCATTTAAAATATTTCGGCTGTACGGAAACCACATACAATGAAAATATCGTTTGTAAAATGTATAGCCGTTTTAAATGTAGTTTAACGGTGAAAAAAAATTAAAAGGTTGACCCAGTTGTGGAGCACCTCGGAAGGGCAACTTTACCTTCGCTTACTCACGTCCCTGGAATTCAAACTGATAAATCAGCTCTTAAAGATTCGTGGTTTTTTGTACGCATTTTATCCAACAAGGGTTCGTTATGCGTTAATTGTTAACCCGAATAAACTGACAAAAGCATTCCGTTTGCTTACGTGTAACCCGTTTAAATGTGAATGTTAAAATTTTTCGGAATGGCTAACGGGATTAACTCACCTCTGAGTATGGACAGTTTAATTTCGTCCTGACAAAGTGTGATGACGCGTTCAATCTTCTGTGGAGCTGTGGGTGGGTTGCGGCATCTTGTTTCCTGTAAATAAGATTTAAAAAAAAATAAAAATACAAAAGTGCACACCTTGAACGCTCTTGTAATATTTTGAATAATCAATTTACTTTTATTAATTACCGATTTACATATTTCGTTTAGAGCTACAAAAAATTGTTTCTGTTTAATTAACACGAAATTTTTTTGACTGCTTGATACCGGTTATTCGTATTTTGTTAACGAAAAATATTCAATAAAAAATAAAATAAAAAAAATATTAATGAACGGGAGCGTTTACAATAGCGACATTTAAAAGACTTCCCAAAGATTAAAATCTAAATCTAATTAAAAAAAAAAAACAAAGTGATAAGTTCAATTTTCGAAAGATATGTCACATGCATACCAAAACGTGACAAACAAGTGAAATTATTTTCTATTAACTTTTTTTTAATAATAATCGAAATAAATAATCTTATAACTACGACAGAAATGTTAATTGAAAAAATCAAATTCCTATTGGTGTACTTTTTTATTACCTATATAAGTACAGTAAAATGCTAGTGGAAATGATTTAAGTTGTGTGGATCGCGATTTTTTTATTTGGTGACAATAGAGCACTACATCTCCGCTTCGCGTTAGTAGTGTGCAAAACTAATGATAACGTCTTTAAAATCTTATATTATTTCCACCACAAATAATATTACTGTGCTGTGAAATACATACTATATATAATACATAGCTGTGATAATCCTAGTGAATATGCTAGGTCATTGTTATGAAATAACTTTATTGTTACCAGATCTTAATACGTCTGTAAAATTCCTTAAAAGTTAAAATGTATGGAGGTGAGGAAAATTGAATTAATAGAATTACATTACATCCGTACATTACATAGATAAGGTCAAACACAGGTCAAATTTAATGTGTGATTTCCATTCGTGTTATATAATAAATCAGAAATCAAACAAGTCAACAAGAACATAACATTTAGTAGCCTAATAAAACTCTCCAACGACGGATAGAAACTGTTCTTACAATATGATTAAGTGCTTAGGAAGCATAAAACTAATAGTTACTCATGTAACTAATACAATACAGGAGAAAATCCTAGAGTGGAGGTGACATTTAAAAAAACTTAGCCTAAAGCCATACATCGTAGCTATTTATTCAGTTATTTATATATTCATTACATCCCATCCAAAATCTACTGCTGAACATAGGCCTTCCCCATAGAGTACTTTATGAGGGAATAAGGCAATAGAGGGAGGCATATTTGTCATAGTTGCCACACCTGTCAGACGGATAGGCAACCACGGCTTTTTGTTATTTTGAGCTGCTTTTAGGCAGCTGCTGTTTGTTGCTCATCTCCTTTTTCGTTCCCCGCTGTCGGCTCTTACGACACACAATGATAATGTGGTAGTGTATTTAAAACAAGGATGTAATCAAATTTTAATTACATTATCGTCACACCTCCTCCTCCTCATCAACCAATAATATGTCGACCGGATTATAGAAGTGTAAAGGGACGGCCATGTAGCTCAGCGGCAACGGATGACGAAGAATTGTTCTTGTGTGGCAGCCTCGTACCGGTATGCTAAGTGAGGGAAAGCGCCGCACTAAATCGAGGGACGACCAGGTAATAAATATAGGAAGTCAAAGGTGCAGGTAACGCATGACTGTGCTTTGTGTGATGTACTGAAATGATAATGAAGATGATAACAGACAATAAGATTTACCGGGCAGTAGCGGTAACATGCGACAGAGGGAAACTGAAATAATAGATGGGCAGCAGCATCTTCCTAACAACAACACCATAAAAAACTGCAATGTTCAACCCGCCTGCCAAGCGTGGCAACCATAGCACATATACTGGGGGGAGGGCCCCACGAGCTACGAAGAACTCTATCATTATCATCATTACAGCCCATCACAAATCCACTGCTGAACATAGGCCTCCCCCAAAGAATGCCACAAAGCACGGTCCTGAGCCACCTGCATCCATCGACTTCCTGCATATCTTACCGGGTCGTCACTCTATCTAATGGGGGGGGACACCCTGCACTTCGTCCGCCGGTACGAGGCCGCCACTTGAGAACCTTTTTCCCCATGGGTTGTTGGTTCTTCGAACTATATGGCCGGCCCAATGCCACTTCAGCTTACTAATCCATTGGGCTATGTCGGTCACTCTGGTTCTACTGCGGATATCCTCATTTCTAAGTTTATCACGCAGAGAAACTCCGAGCATAGCCCTCTCCATAGCTCGCTGAGCGACCTTGAGCTTCTTCATCCCGCCAGCAGTGATGGACCACGTCTCAGTTCTATAGGTCATCACTGGCAACACGCACTGGTTGTACAGTCTCGTTTTTAAGTTTTGAGGTATATCTGACGAGAAGATGTGCCGTAATTTCCCAAACGCTGCCCAACCGAGTTGAATCCGTCGATTGACCTCTCGGTCGAAGTTGGACTTAGACTCTAGTCGGTCTTTTTGTCCCAGGTAAACATACTCGTCAACAACTTCGAGCTTAGTGCTCCCAAAAACTACCGGCATAGGTGTGACATGGACATTAAATATGATATTTGTTTTGTCCATGTTCATCTTAAGACCTATCCGTTGGGAAACACTATTGAGTTCATTGAGCATAGTGCTAAGGTCCTCCAGCGATTCTGCCATAAGGACTATATCGTCAGCAAATCGAAGATGAGTGAGCCATTGATGTTAATACCGTATCCTTTTCAGTCCAGAAGCTTGAAAACGTCTTCAAATGCAGCGGTGAAGAGTTTCGGGGATATATCGTCACCCTGTCTTAACACCTTCCTGCAATTGTATAGGTTTCGTACTCTGGTTCTGTACTCGGATAGCCATCGTAGCCCTACTGTACAAGCACATCAGCACTTCGATATACCGACAGTCAACTTGGCACCGCTGAAGGGACTGCAACACCGCCCAAATACCTCATAGTCCACATACGCCAGACATAGTGGCAATTTGTACTCCTCATCTGTACAATTTGCCGAAGGGTATGTGTGTGGTCTATGGTGCTAAAGCCTTTTTAGAAACCGGCTTTTTCGGGAGGCTAGAAGTCGTCAAGACTGCGCGTGAGACGATTTGTAATGACTCTCGAAAACAGCACGTAGACGCGGCTCAGAAGGGAAATAGGTATGTAGTTCTTCAAGAGACCGTAGTCACCTTTCTTGAAGAACAAGACCACCGCACTTCTGTTCCATGCCTCCGGTTTAATACCACCATGGAGGAGGAATTAAAGAGCTTCTCAAAGACTTCAAGTAACGGTTTACCACCCGCTTTCAGAAGCTCCGCTGTAATGCCATCCTCGCCTGGGGTCTTGCCGTTTTTAAAGTGCTGGAGAGCCATTCTAATCTCGCTCAGACTGACGTCTGGGATATCATCTGAATAGTGTCGGATAAGACTCGCTCTTGAATCGTTACTCACACTTGCGTGTGGCTCCAACGATGATGTGTACAGCTGCCCATAGAACATCTCAATCTCACTCTAAATATCAGGTGTCCCGGAAACGATGCTGCCACACTCGGTCTTCAGCTTCGACAGTTGGCTCTTTCTGGCAGACAGATATCTAGCAAAGACTTTAGAGCCCTGGTTCCGCTCGATCGCCATGCCATAGCCATGAGATTAAGAGTGTGATCGGAGAGTTTTTGTGTTCTTCTGCGGCGGGTCTTACAAAACTTAGCTCCGACCGCATGGACAGTTTCCATGTGCTTGTCATTCATATCGTCCACTGCATTGCAATCTCCTAGGCATTGAAAACGGTTTCGTAGCTCGAGCTGAAAGGTTTCGGGACTTTTGATTAGAGCACGAGGGGGAAGGAGCGTTGACTTCATTAGACGTGACCTTTCCAACTTTACGTTTAGGTTCAGTGTGCCTCTCACCATTTGGTGATCGCTGCCGGTTTTCACTCTCGCGATCACTGAGAAATCACTGAACAGTTGTCGTCTGGTCGTCATAATAAAGTCTATCTCACTTTTTGTCGAACCGTCGGGGCTCGACCAGGTCCACTTCCTGTGGGGCCGCTTCTGGAAGAAAGAGTTCATCATAAAGAGTCCCTCTTTCTCCATGAAGTCGGCCAGCTGCTGGCCCCTTGGGTTCCGTTGCCCTATTCCAAATTTCCCTACTTTCAGCTCACTGTTCTCTCTTGTACCTAGTTTTGCGTTGAAGTCTCCCATTAACACCGTATATTGGGTTTTGGAGGAATGCATGGCTCTAGAGATATCCTCATACATTTCCTCCACCTCCTCATCGGGGTGTGCCGAGGTTGGTGCGTAAACCTGTATGACCTTCAGCGAATACCGTTTGGTGATTCTGAGTATAAGGTACGAAACCCTCGTCGACACACTCCCGATTTTTACAACGTTGTTAACGAGAGACTTGTGGACGATAAATCCGACACCTAATATATATATGGATAGATGGTCGACCTCCCAGTGATAGAACAAATTGCCGGATTCGAGGATTACCGTGACCTCCCCCTCTCTTCGGACCTCGGATAATCCTATAATATTCCAGCGCAACTTGTCTATCTCTTCTTCCAGCTCCAGGATCTTCTCGTCAGTCCTCAGGGTGCGTGCGTTATAAGTTGCCAGGTCGAGTCGTCTTAGATGGCAACCGAACCTCCACCGGAAATTCTTAGCACCCCCTGCCCCGCCGTTACCATGGTCGATACCGTAGCCAGGAATAGCGGGGCCACCGGAGGCTGAGGGCCGTCTCTTCGTTACTTTCATGGGGGTTATATTGGCATAGTTGCCACGCTTGGTGAGCGGGTGGGCAAGCCGTGGCAGTTTTTTTATTGGTTTTTTACTGTCTTCAGAAAGATTCTGCTACCCATCCTCTGACTCAGTTTCCCTCTGTCGCCTCTTACGAAACCCACGGGAAGATATGGTGTAGTAAGTATTCTTACCCGCCACTACACGGGATTCTATAGGGGAAACTATATAGGGGAGAACTCTATAGGGGAAGCCAATTTTCAGCAGTGGTTTTAATGGGTTGTGATGAATAAATGAAGAAAAGAATTACT